AGAACAAGATCTATTAGATCTATTTCATAGATTGTAATCAAAGGAAAAAAAACATGAAGACTAGAAGATCAAGAATCAACACCCAGTCCAAGCATTAATCACGCATCACTGCTTGCTTCGAAAGTTGAGTTGATTGAGACTTATGAAATACAAACAGTGGAAGGTGTAAGAGATTTTTGCTTCACAATTGATTTTTTAAGCATATCATGACTTTGTTCGATTGGGATCAGCAATTAAAAGTTGAACAAGACAAGGGTGAAAATTTCCAATTGGAACAAAGTGAAGAATATATTATCATCATTCATCATCGTCGTCATCGTCATCATTTTAGCCTTTACTTGGGTTTGGCTACATGAATCCTGGTTTTCCATTCTGCTCTTTTAAAGGCTATAAATCCCTGTATCTTTTCGGACTACTTCCAACCACATCCTTTTGGGCCTATCCCTTGCCTTTTTAGTCCTTCCATTTGAGCTAAGTCGCACCTCTTAACAGGTGTTGTACTTGGTTAGTGCCACACATGGCCAGCCCACCTAAGTTTACTCTCTTTCATTTTCTCGCCTATTGGTGCTATGCCTAAATTCTCTCGAACAGATTCATTTCGAATTCTATCCCTTCTTGTCTTACCACTCATCCATCTCAACATCCTCATCTTTGCTACACTCATTCTATGGGTATATTGTGTTTTGGCCGTCCAACATTTTGCCCTATAGAACAAAGCTGATCTCACCACTGTCCTATAGAACTTGAGCTTCAGCCTTATAGGTAGATCACATAAAATTCCAGTTGCACATCTCCAATTCGCCCACCCAGCTCTAATTCTGTGTGCAACATCTTCCTCGATCTCTCCATTTTCTTGGATTATCTATCCAAGATATCGAAAGTACTGTCTTTTTTATACTTCCTGGCCGTCAAACTTATCTACTTCCTCGTATGTACTCTTATTATTACTAAACTTGCACTACATATACTATGTCTTAGTCCGACTAATGTTAAAACCTTTGGATTCTAGAGCATCCCTCCAAAGTTCTTTGTGATGACGCTGTTTCGGGTCTCATCAATCAAAATTATGCCATCTGCGAACAACATGCACCATGATACTTCATCCCATAGGTGCCTTGTTAAGTCATCCATAATTGAGACAAAGAGGTACGGACTCAATGTTGACCCTTGATGCAAATCTAGTGTCACTGAAAATTCACCGAAGTTGATGTGGTGTTTAGAGACGCATTTCTTTTCCAACACCTGCCTAATCAAATTTTGATGTACTCTATCATAAGCTTTCTCTAGATCAATAAAGACCATGTAGAGGTCTTTTTCCTTCGCCCTAAACTTCTCTATTAGTTGCCTAAGTAGGAAAAAGTGGAGAAGATAATGACGGAAAATTTTCGAATTCGATTAGCTTGAGGTCGAGCTTCTCCCAACCACGGGAGAATGAAAGGAAAATTTTTGAATTCGATAAGCTTGAGGTCGAGCTTCTTCCAACATGGGAGAATGAAGCAAAATAAAACTCGGGGTTTTTTAATTTTTAATTTTATATTTTTTTAATTTTAGAAAAGGTGTTATTTGAGATTTCAGTTTTCTTTAGGGTTATTATTTTTAGTTGTAGACATTTAAAAGGTAGAATAATAAATTCTTTATGGGAGTTGGTTAGGATAGATTTTTATGATGTCTGTGTGTGTGTGTGAGAGAGAGAGAGAGAGAGAGAGAGAGAGAGAGAGAGAGAGAGAGAGAGAGAGAGATAATGTTATTCTTGTTTGTGGGTTTTATTTATTTATTTTTCAAGTAAGTGCATTTAAAGGGAGATGTCCCTTCCTTGTAACAGCGAGAATTGGTAATTGTGTAAAAAGTTGATCTTGTGAAAAGATCTTGGGGTGGACTCCCTTGCAGAGCCAGAGAGGGTATATCTCTCAACCTTTTTTATTTTATTTTTATTATTTGGGTTATTATTTTCTTCTTGCATCAGATCCCGACATAGAGTTGCCACGGAAAGCCCTTTGATGTCGCTTGATGGACATGGTTTGACTGGACTCCCTCACGTTTGGTGTCCTTGAGGTCGCACACTCGTAATGGTTGGTGTGTACTATGTGCTTTTATGGTTTGGCTCGGATGGGGTTGAGGCTGGGTTTGGTTCGGGGTTGCGGCTGTGGTTTGGTGAGTGTGACGTGTGGGTCTTGGATGGGTTGAGGCGCCTAAGGTTGGGTAGTGGGTCGGCTTGGTTTAGGTGTAGGCTAGGCTAGTGGATAGAGAGTGGGTTGATCAGAATCCGACAGAATTCTGGTAGCACCTCCCCTTGGGGGGGGGGGTAGATGACGAGAAAATGTGCTCGGCGAGTAGCCAAAGCACCTCTAAGGAATCCGCAGTCGGGGTTCGTTGGGTCAAGCCCACCCCGGAGTTGCTTTGGAAGAGCCTACATAAAGAGGGCTGGTCTAAGTGGGTTAGGTGGGTGTAGGGAGTATGGTAGGTATGGAGTAGGATAAGGTGTAGGATAGGGAGTAAGCTAGGCTGGTCTCGGGAGTATGGTTTGGTGGGTAGTGGGGACTAGGGAGTATGGTAGGTTTGGAGTAGGATGGGGTGTATAGTTAAATATGGGGAGTGGTGTAGGTTCAACAGTAGGGTAGGGAGTAAGGTAGGATGTGGGCTGGGTGGTTGGGTAAAGGAAGTGTGGATAGGTTAGGGTTTAGGAGGCCCTTGGTTAAGTGTATAGACTTAACCAAGGTGGGTTAAGGGTTGGGTTATGCTAAATAGCAGTAACTAACCTAGGATTAGGGGCTATGGGGTAGAACTGTTTCGCAAAATATTTCTCTCCTTTTTTCGAAGTGATAAGAGTTTCATTAACACTCAAGGCAAAAAGACCTCATTCCTCCTCTTATTTTTTTGTTACATGAGTTAAGGGTTTATATAGAGCTTCCCCTTCAAACAAGGGTGGATGCTCAAAACTCGAAGGAAATGAGTATAAAGAATAGTCACAAAGATCATAGAAATGGCATGCCCGCTGCAAAAGGCAGATGATCTCTGGGTAATCTTCTGAAAATTGCCAAATCGACCTCCTTTTGGCAAATTTTTTAAGTCTCTATGATGGACCTGATCGAACCACTCATCCAAAAATCTAGCTCATCATCTTGGCTGCACCTCAAAACATGCTATATATCTTAGAATAACTGAAAATTAAGTTACTTTCCAAAATGCATTCTATCTTTTAGGAAAGTCTCCGACTTCAATCCAATCCTTTGATTTCTTTGGCCATAGTACAAGTTCACCATGAGCTTAGTCAATCAGCATAACCCATTCAATCTTTATTTTTTATTAAGACACGTGCCACACACGTACCATAGTCAATCCGTGCCTTTCACTAAGTTTTGACCCATCTGGATATCATCTGACCCATTTGGTCAAGTTCACTACGAGAGGCGCTCGTGCCCTCTATTGGCCTTGTGGGGAAGTTCACAAAGCTATCTCTGCACATCTGCAGACTTTGTGATTTCGTGAGGAACCCTTAGTCATACCTTAAATAAGACTTTTACCAATTTTGAATGCATGCCTCACCGTGAAACTGATTTCATCCATGTACTTCCCCAAATCCTATGAAATTTTGGACCTTTCCACAAAATTTGAAATGGTTTGGAAACCATTAGATCTAAATTGTTGAGTTCATCTAGAGTATTATTCATGGCATCGTAGCCTTGCGGTGAATCTGAAAAATCCTTCATTTCGATGTCCAAATTACCTGATCTTTGGCTTATGGCTCTATTTTGACTTTTCAAGGACTATGCCAAGGTTTCAAGTTATTTGAAGATCCTCATCAGGGTTTTCCAGGCTGAGGACTTTATGGTCATTACATAAATTGTTTAAAGTCGATGCAAAATCACCCTAAACACTATCATCCTCTAAGGATGGATTTGGATTTCATTATTGGACTATACTAATGTATGGACCATGTGGGTATGTGGTTGGATTCACCAGATGAATGATTGGGTTCCACATCATTTTTTATCAATGTTATGGTTGATAAGAATAAAGCACTGTACAAATCATTAGAGGTTTAACTAAAACCGAGATATGTGGCTCTTCCTAATCAGACCTCCTCCTGTTGGAAAACAGGACAGTATACATCAGGTTACTCTATCTAGTTCTACTTCGATTTGTGTTTTCTGATGTCATATTTGAAGTAAACCAGAAACATCTATACTTATGCTGAAAAATTCTTCCTGCCAAAAGAGAACAGTATTACGCCAAAGAGAAACAAGGTAGCATCTGTACAAGCATTCAAACTTACATAAAAAGACCTGACAAAAACCCTAAAGCTGGCTTACTTCTGCGTAATGTCTTATGCTACCTGTCTTTTTTCATGGAAACTATTCAACTTAGTATGGAATGGTTGTCGGCATTTCGTTTGCTTCTTTCTCAAACCAAACTGTGGGGCTTTTTAGTGACAATTCCCCAGGTTTCATTTTTCCTGAGATCCTGGATTTCTCTCTCTTAGGGCTCTCTTCTTTCCGAATTCTTTGGAAGAACACCAAATAAGGTTACTCCACAGTAAAATACTTATTCTGGTCTTTCAAAATTATATGCTCCAAAATGTTTATTCTCAAAAAGAATCTGTAGAATCTGTTAATTTTGAGACCTTTTATTTTCACTTGCTTGAGTTTAATAGAAGCCCATAACAATCCCTATTCCTTTTAAAACATGCTCTTGTTGGAAATCATGTTGGTTGTTCTTTGAATTTCCGTTATTTAAATTATCCGTTGCTATTCCAAAAGCTTTTGTGCTTGTTTCTTGGGGCATATTCACTGTGTAAAACACTCCTGTACTGACCTTGAATTTGGGGAGGCTGTTTATATTGTTTTCTCTTTTCAGCATTTACTTTGCCACCAGCATAATGCAGTTGCTTCATTTCCATTATCAGATATTGCATGTACTTTATCCTTTATTTATCTCTCGCACCATTTTCTGTCATATATATCAGTTCATTGAACATGTCTTAACCAATTTTCTTATTTCAGACTAGAAGAGCTTCAAGTTTTGGATATCAAATTTCTCTACGGCTGTGCAAGGCCTACAATTGTTGTCCTTTATCAGGTAATCCTCATTGTCATTATGTTCTATATATTGCCTCTTACATCTGTTATTTTAGACTTATTTACATGAAAAATACTTGCACGATATTAAATGCTTCTGAAAGTCTACTTATTGCTCCTTCCTCTGTGGGTTCTGCATGTTTTGTAATTGTAAGGATGATTCTTGATTTGGTTATATCATGCTTGTGAAACTAAAATTACTCTGACTTGTACTTGCACTGGGCATTTTTGTTCCATTTTTTGTTCCCCTGTAGCTCCTGTTTTACAATGATAAGCCTATGTTTTCATGTACATACTATTAAATCAGGGCATACTATCACAGCAATAAGAGGAGTAATGTGGATAAGTGTATTACCATTATTTCTAATCAAACTAGCTCATAACTGATTCTTTATGTGTGACAACAGGATAATAAAGATGCTCGGCATGTTAAAACTTATGAAGTTGTTATTAAGGATAAGGATTTTGTTGAGGGTCCATGGTCCCAGAATAATCTTGATAATGGCGCTGGTCTGTTGATACCTGTTCCCATGCCTCTGGGTGGTGTTATCATTATTGGAGAGCAGACCATAGTCTATTGCAGTGCGTCTGTATTTAAAGCTATCCCAATCAGACCAGTAAGGATGTTCTTTTTTTTTTAACCAGTATATTGATGTCTTATTCATGTTACTTGAGATCTTCTAGTTTTATATTATATTAGAATTTTCTTGCTTAATTCATATGGTCTCTATCCTGCAGTCTATCACAAGAGCCTACGGGAGAGTTGATGCCGATGGTTCCCGGTATCTGCTTAGTGATCATGCTGGACTGTTGCATTTGCTTGTTATCATCCATGAAAAAGAAAGGTGGCCATAAAATCAATCGTTGTTATATCATATTTATATCCATGATTTAGTTTATCAAATTGGCTTATCTTTTTAGTTTACATTTTTGGTTGTGGTCAGCCTTTTAATAGAACCAAGCTCTTTTTCATTTCATCAAAATTTTCAGTGAGTTTAAGATCCAGTCTAATCATATTAAATGATGACTCACCTTTTTGTAGCTCATTCCAGCAGTTCAAACCAAAGTCATCATCGGTATTACTGGAATTTTTTATTTTTATTTTTATCTGAGTGAAAAGGAAAATCTGAAGAATGTTTTGTTCTGACTTATCTTTCAGGGTTACTGGGCTCAAATCGGAGCTTTTGGGTGAGACATCTGTTGCCTCCACAATATCCTATCTTGACAATGCTTTTGTATACGTTGGTTCTAGCTATGGGGATTCTCAGGTATGCTGCCACAGAAATAAAGTGACACATTGAATTATTAGCTTTTAATCCATTATATATGGATATTTATTCAAACTCATTAAATTTGCATGTAAGGTGACTATGATGAAAGGCTTTTTGCATGTGTTGTGCCAAACTGGGGTTGCTTCTTTTTTTTGTCTCTTTGATTACTTGAGTTAAGTTGTTTTTAAGATCTTTGTCCCAACGTGTACCAATTGGAACTTGAGGGCATTTGCGATGTGGCACATAGTGGTTTGTCCAATATGTAGTGTTACTACAAATACTGTTGTTTTTTTTTGTTTCATGGTCATTGTGGTTTCACATTCTTGGGGTTGTGATTACTGATTAGAGAATGAGTTGTTGATTAAAGCACTGCCAATCTGTACTAACCAATGCAACCTTTACAGCTTATAAAGCTTAATTTGCAACCTGATGCAAAAGGTTCGTATGTGGAAGTTCTTGAAAGGTATGTAAATTTGGGGCCTATTGTGGATTTCTGTGTTGTGGATCTCGAGAGGCAAGGGCAAGGCCAGGTTGTGACCTGCTCTGGAGCATTTAAGGATGGATCTCTCCGAGTTGTCCGGAATGGCATAGGGATCAATGAGCAGGTTTCTTTTTATTTCAATGATATTCATTTCTTTATGAGGTTGTGTTTGCAACCCTCTGCGTAATCTCCCAAAGAGGGTGACGGTTTTAACTTTGTATAGGCATCAGTGGAACTCCATGGCATAAAAGGAATGTGGTCATTACGATCTGCAACTGACGATCCCTATGATACCTTCTTGGTTGTCAGCTTTATCAGTGAGACTCGTATTCTTGCAATGAATACAGATGATGAGTTAGAAGAAACAGAGATTGAAGGATTTCATTCTCAAGCACAAACTTTATTCTGTCAGAATGCCGTACACAATCAACTTATTCAGGTGAGCTTGAATATCTTGTGTTATGTTCTTCCTCTTGTGGTATAAATATATTCTTCATTAATTAAATTAATACCAATCTATGGTTTTACCTAGAGACTCATTTTCAAACAAATGATTTCAAAAAAACAGAGACTCATTTTCAAAGAGTGAATGGGGAGCACAATAATTTCTGATCTGTTGCTTATAATTTTTCGGTTCCTAATTGTGTACTGTTTTGTATTTACAAAAGCTTATAATATTGTCCACTTCTGCTAATTTCGCCTTTGTAATGTTTTTTTTTTTTACAGAAAGCCCTTAATATTTTCTCCTTTAACCAGATTAGGTGGTTGAGAAGATGATTGGTACATATGACAAATTGAGTATCTTGTTCAAATGTGAAATTAAATGCATATATGCATATGTTTCTTTGCTTTACAGGTGACTGCTCAATCTGTACGGTTGGTAAGTTGTTCTTCTAGGGAACTGCTGAATGAATGGAAAGCTCCATCAGGATTTTCTGTAAATGTTGCTACAGCTAATGCCTCGCAGGTACTTTTCTGACTATGTAATATAAACTTTAAAGCCCTACAACTTCTGGCGGTGTTATTGGATTGACTGCATCAATTTTATTCAGCGTTTTATAATTTATAGCGTGCAAAACTTTTGCTTCTTGCAAATGTCAACCATTTCCATTTTTACTTGTGTCAATGCCATAGATGCTTACCTGCTTTTAATTTCTTTTGTTGCTTCTTGCTTGCCTCATTAGACCACCACTTCTCTTTTCAGGTTTGCTTCTTGCTAATGTCAATTATTTTGTGCTTGTGTCAATGTTCTAGAAGCTTACCTGTTTTTTTATTGCTTTTGTTGCTTCTTGCTTGCCTCATTAGATCACCATTTCTCTTTTCAGGTTATCTTCCTACCATGGTACTTTTGGATCTTGGCATTTTCCCATAACATATCATTTCATTTTTGGGTTATTAAAGATCTTTTCTTATTCACTTAATTGTTAGTTGCATGCTTGAATGCTGAGTATTGCTTCCTTCTGCTACTAACAAGTGTACTGATTTGCCTGAGCAATTCAGGATGAATAAATTTTGGTGATATCTCTATCGTGTAACAGGTACTGTTGGCCACTGGTGGTGGTCACTTAGTTTACCTGGAAGTTGGGGTGGGAATCCTAACTGAGGTGAAACATATACAACTGGAGTATGAAATATCTTGCCTGGACATAAATCCTATTGGTGAAGATTCCAAGTTTAGTAAACTGGCAGCAGTTGGAATGTGGACGGATAATAGTGTTAGGATATTTTCTCTTCCTGGACTCGATCTGATTGTAAAAGAGCTTCTCGGTGGAGAGATCATCCCTCGCTCTGTACTCCTATGTGCCTTTGAAGGGGTATGTGACATTTCAGTCTTTTATTCTTCAGAATTGGCAAATGTTACTTCTTTGCTTTTCAACTCGGTGTCTGGGTTTGAGAATGGCATGGGGTCTTGGCGGTAGTATTGCCGAGCCTCATGATGAGGCCACTGACTCCATTCTCACCAAATGATAGGGGCCCAAATCCCCACTAACTTACCACTTTCTATTTGCCCAAAAAAAAAGCTTGGTGTCTGGGTTTTCATCACTATTTACTGTGTACATGACAATTTTCTTAGGAGGAAAAGCTTGATTTGCAATGATTGAGGTATGGATTGTTATGTGTGTATCTGCAATGACCCCATGTCTTTGTTTCCCTTTACAGGTATCTTATTTGCTGTGTGCCCTTGGGGATGGGCATTTATTCAATTTTTTATTGAACGTGAATACTGGTGAATTGTCTGATAGGAAGAAGATTTCGCTTGGGACACAACCTATCACACTCCGCACTTTCTCGTCCAAAAATACTACACATGTGTTTGCCGCATCAGATAGACCAACTGTCATCTACAGCAGTAATAAGAAATTACTTTACAGCAATGTAAATTTGAAAGAAGTCAATCATATGTGTCCTTTCAATTCTGCTGCTTTCCCTGACAGGTGCTTACCTTCCTCCAAGCTTAGACATGTATGTGTTGGGGTTAAGTTTCCTGACTTAGGAAGCATTCTGGATGTGTATGTTATTGTGATTCCATTACCTCTGGTTCTATACTCTTTAACTAGTTGTTTTTCTTGACGGCAGTTGCTACAAATGCTTTCATTTGTTAAATAGCTATCTGTAGGGCTTTGCTCACAATTTGTCAGTTTGATATGTAGTTCATTTACACTTTCCATAACGGGAAATGTATATGGAAAAACGATGCTAGAATGCATATATGATAGTCTCATCCTAATGAAGTGTGATCACTTATCACAATCTCCTATTCTTACTTATGAAAACTCTGGAATTCGATTTACCTTTATGGTTCTCTGCATTCCTTTGTTTAGATGAAACTAATTGCATTATTGCATAATCTTGTATTTATGATTCTCGATTTTTCATCTATGTTTAGCCTAAGAGTCACTTGAGTTTCTACCCTACTATGTTAAGCTGTCTCCTATGGTTACTATAAAATGACCTTAAATAGCCATTTTGTGGTTCCAAAAATAAACCCAATTTTGAAAATTTATTCGTGACTTTTTAAGGGCTATATTATTAAATCAAGCCTTTTTTTTTTATTAAGCAAAGCAAACATATTCTATGCTTGTAACAAGTCAACATGGATTTGTTGTGCAGCCTTGCTATTGCAAAAGAAGGTGAACTCACTATTGGTTCTATCGATGATATCCAAAAGCTTCATATTCGTGCCATACCACTGGGAGAGCATGCCCGCCGCATCTGTCACCAAGAACAAAATCGGGCTTTTGCTACCTGCAATGTGAAGTATTCTCAGTCGAATATGGATGAGTCCGAGATGCACTTTATACGTCTATATGATGACCAGACTTTTGAAATCTTATCATCCTATCAGCTTGATACTTACGAAAATGGCTGCTCTATTCTTAGTTGTTCCTTTACAGATGATAGCAATGCTTATATCTGTGTTGGGACTGCATATGTTTTGCCTGAAGAGAATGAACCCAGCAAGGTGAGAACATGGGTTCAGATACTTAAACCAGGGTGATGTGTGTGTGCGTGCTTGTGCATGTGTGTGTGTGCGCGCACACACACATGCGCGAGTGTGCACCCATTCGTGTGCACGTTTTGTGTTCTCGTGTGTGTGTGCGCACATGCGCAAGTGTGTGCATCCATGCATGTGTTGTGTGCACACCCATTTGTGTTCTCACGTGTGTGCACGTGTGCATCGGTCCATCTATTCTTCATTGTCCATCAAATCTCTAGAGCAGCCAGGAAGTAGAGAACAAACCGTGAATTTGCGTAACACACAAGAATACAATAGTTTGTTGGGTCATCAGGTCATCATAGCCAGTGAAATGATGGATGATTGGATGATTGGAGTATTGGATGGTGATGGAGACAGCCCGAACAGCACATGACCCCAATGACATTTCCCATTTAATCCATAAGCATCCATTGTGGTGATGTCTTTGATGGATTACATGTTTTCCATAGCTTATTGCATTATTTGAATACTTTCCCTTCATCAATATCTTAACTTGTGGATCATATGATCAATTTATAAAGCTAGTGTCTAGCAAACGTCTCTTAGAAATACTTCATTATTACTACAACTTCTAAAATCAGGCAGCTTGAGGTTTGGATGAATTTGCAATGTTTTGATGTCGCATCCTTCCTTTTGTAAACTACATTGAATTCGGTACATTTTGTAGGGTCGGATACTTGTTTTTGTGGTGGAAGATGGGAAGTTAATGCTGGTAGCAGAGAAAGAAACTAAAGGGGCAGTGTATAGTTTAAATGCCTTCAATGGGAAATTATTGGCAGCCATCAACCAAAAGATACAGCTCTACAAATGGATGCTCAGAGATGATGGTTCACGTGAGCTGCAGTCGGAATGTGGGCACCATGGACATATACTTGCTCTCTATGTTCAAACTCGTGGAGACTTCATTGTAGTGGGTGACCTTATGAAGTCTATATCCTTGTTGATTTATAAGGTATGTTATTTCTACTGTTGTAGGTTTTTGGTGTATATGTCATTGCAGTTAATGGGAACTTATACCAAGGCCAAAACCAGTCCTTTCCTAGTGATGGTTGGCTGTGGATTATTTTGAGTGGGGCCGTCAGGGAGATTCTCCTAGGTACAGTAAGTTTCTGATCAACCATCAGTGGGAATGGATGGTGAATGTAGCCTGTATTATTATATACGTAGTTTATTGTATCTATGGTATACTTCCATGGATCTATTCTATTATACTGGATCTCACAGTTATGGAATCATCACTATAATGAAGTTTCATGGTAGCATTCTTCAATATTCTTTTCGGTTTTATGGTAGCATTCATTAATATTCTTCTCCTGTTTCATTACTATTTTATGCACTGGAAGAAGGGACCAAAACAGAGAAGAAACATAGGCATGGTGAAATAAACTTTGAATCTTGGATGAAAAAATTGAGTAAAAGTGATGGATCACCCATCTGACAGGGTTCCCATGTTTGCACATCAGTCTTAGTTTATTTAAAGAGCAATTGTTGGTTGCCTGCCAAAAAAAGCCAATATTAGCAATGAAAATCCTCCCAAAGAAATCTCACGTCCAGATTCTTCAAGCACTTGCATAGATTTTGATCTCTCTCTCCCTCTCTCTCTCTCTCTCTCTTTATATATATATATATATATATATATATAATAGTAGTAGTAGTAGTACTACTACGTACTACTACTAGTAATAATAATAGTACGTACCGACCGAACCGAACCGTACGTACGTAACGTACGTCGGTACGTACGTTACGT